GGGCGGCTGGGGGCGTCGAGCGTCCCCTCTCCTGGGAGCGCGGATAACTCACTAGCGCCCCTTCTGAGGCCGCTAGTAGGGCCGGGGCGCGGAGACAGCTCGGGGCTCTGACTCGGCCGGATGAGCGCGGCGAGGAGCGCAAGCGGACAGCGGGCGCCAGGTTGCTCTGCGGGACCGAGGGGCTGGGCGCTGGCCAGGGGGCGCTGCAGGCCCGCGGGAGGTGCGCCAGAGGCGGGAGCCCGGTGGCTCACCTGTAGCCCCGCGGGTGGTGGCAGCACGGGCAGCCCGCCGGGGTTGGAGGCGTTCGCCCACGGAGGTGCACCGGGCCCGCAATGGCTCTCGCGTTTTTAAGGGGTTGGCCGAGGTCGGCAAATAAAAGAAGGTGCGTACTTCTGCACTGGTTTCTGACCTCTGAGCCACGCAGCAGGGGGCGCTGTGCCATCCTCCGCCAACTCCGCGGGATTTATGCTCTGGCCCTTGTGAAAAAGTTTACTTTGGCATCGTTTCCACTTGTCATGGCAACTGCCGTTTACCTATTGTCCCATTACAGCGATGGGGCAGTAATACTCGGGCCTTGCTCAAGTCTTGACGATATTTGATTTTTTTAAAAACTCCACAAAAGCGAAATACCACAATGCCTGGTAAAATGCCTTGTGCAAACTAAGCACTCAATCAACTTTGGCTATTTCAGCATTATCTCCAGTTCTCATACTTCATCAAGAAAGTCATTGCCAAACGTGTGCTCAATACAAAAAAAGAAAATGCCAATAAGCAAGTTGAAAAATCACACCTATTCCACCACCTAGGGATAGTCACTGTTAACATTATAGTGTATGTTCTTCCAGTGTCGTTCTACGTACATAATTCGTTCTTTTTAGTTCATCCCATACATACTGTAGCATAACCAGCTTTTCCATTTTTCTTGATCATCTTTTTAGCCACTACTTAATGTTCTTATGTACATAACCTATCTGCTAATTATTGAACATTAAATTAACTGTTAATCATACAACTAGGTATTTGTGCTTTTGCCCCATTACTTCCTTGGAGTAAATTGGAAGAAGGTAAATTTGTAGACTATATGGAATATATGCAATTTCAAGCTTTTGATACCTATTATCAAACTGCCCTGCAGGAAGACTGACTTGGTTTCCTCTTTTCCCTGCCCCTCCCCCATTGTTCTTGTAAATATCAATCTGATAGATTAGTAACAATTTTCTTGTTTGTACACCTTTTCTAAAAAAAATTCTAAAAACTTTGCATTTCCATCTGTGGCTCTCAGTTGGTTTCTAATCTTCCCCGCATTCCAGTGACAATAAATAGCCCCTGGAAAGGGAAACATTGCAGACTTCACTGAAGAGTCAAGAGGACTCATTTTTCACCTCATTTATTCCTCCCAGTAACATTTAGGAGCACCCTCATGTACAAGCAGAGCTGCATAAGTAATACAGGAGCACCTATGCAGGGGAACTTCAGGTCTAATGTTTGGCTGGGAGGGGTGGTCTCTGCTCTAGATGGGCATTGTTTCATATGTAATGCCAGTCACAGAGATGATTTTAAATGTTCTAGCAGCCACATTTGAAAGTGTAAAGAAACAGGTGAACATAATTTTTATATTAACCCAGTAGGTCCGAAATACTACCTCAATATGTAATCAATATATTTTTTACACTGTCTTTGAAATGGTTACATTTTACATTTACAGCACATCTCAATTCAGACTAGTCATGTTTTAAGTGTCCAAGAGCCACATGTAGTGAGTGGCCTGTGCCCCTCTAGACAGAGCAGAGATTTGAGAAGGGCAGACCAAGTCAAGGTAAAAGCGGAGATGTCACAGATGAGAGCCCTCTCTCCCTGACCTGTTAATAATTGGTTGCTGACATTTGCACCTTTGCCTCATCAGGTTTACCTTAGAGAAGCTAAATTTCAATTCTGCATGCTCTTGAGAGTTTAATGTCTTTAACTGGAACTGTGTCACATTTTCTTTCCATGATTTAAGAAGTAAAATATAATTACTGGTGGAGCTACCCATTGCTTCAAGCTCCTGCACATCAGAGAAGTATAATCAGTCTGTCCCAGATGCCTATCGAGTCTTTCCCTATATAGTGTGCATGCGGGGAGGCTGGAAAGGCAGGTGGCCCAGGATCTGGAGAGTGTGATGGGGGGAATAGCAGGGTGGTGGCTTTTTATAGAGTGAAGCTGGGCACAGCTGCTTGTGTTATCCATGGTAACTCCTTCTTTGTGAAAATTTGTGGAAATTAAAAGATATTGTCACCACAAAGGACTATCGTCCCAAAGGGCTTGTGAGCCCCTTGCTTCCAAGGACTTGCCTTATTCATCTTTGCAGCCCAGTGCCTGGTAACTCTATATATAGTCGGTGCCCTTTTAAAATGTGAATTAACTAATAAATTGCCCAGTACAGCATGTCTCAGTTTTACACACACAAGGCATGAAGACAACTTTGAATCCCATGCAGCAAATGGAGACTTCAGCACCCAGTGATATGCACCAGGAGACATCAGCCAGTGTTGTGGAATGAGCATTGTTTTGGAGCTGAGATCTGGGGGCACCATCCAGCTATCCTACTACTGGCTTTGTGACAGAGAAAAGATGCCAAATTTTTGACTGCTGAGTTTCCTGACCCAAAAAGGTCAAGATCAATGGGTATGATGGACTCCAAACCTAGGGAAGCTCAATTCAAATTCCTCCTAACCAGTCCCCCAAATGATGAAACCAAGGTGAAGGGCACATGAAAAGACCAGAGATGGATGCATGAGAAAGCCGCACAAGTTGTGGATTTCCCCAGAACCCCCTGAGCAGCCACTAACCAGAACCCTCTTGTTGAGAAATGAAAGACAGTAATAATGCATATTAAATAGCAAAAAAAAAAAACTTGTCACAGAGGAAATAGGGCCTGATTCTGAAGTGCTTGCTCCACAGGTAGTAAGTTATATCTTGGCAAAAATTGGAGCTAAGGATGAAAGAGAACCAAGCAGGACATGAAGAGAAATACTGGCATCGCAGTGCTAAGGAGCTTTCAGGTTTAGGGCAGGCACCAAAGATCCAAAGGCCAGAAGCACACATCTGCGTGAGACAGTGAGAATTTCAAGGTTTTGCTGGATTTGCTTTTGGGGAATGTGACGCTGTCCAGCTTAATCAAGTTAACACAAAAAGTCTACAAAGACTTGGGTAACGTGGTCATTCTATCAACATCCAGAACTAGCAGCACTCTACTTCAAACTGCCAATACTTCCAAACTTCTACCTTTAGTTCTCCCCCACGTATGTATGCTCTAACATTGGTATTCGTTGAATGCATTTTGAGAGGAACCTGGGTTTACCCTGGGAGAGGCAGGGTGGGCTTCAGTCTGATCTGTAATGAGCCTCACAGTTCCTCTCCCTTCCTGGGGGCTCCTACCACAGGGGGTGGGCGCCTCCTCATCAGAAGGTGGTCACCACAAGGCTTTCAAAACAGCCTCTCAAGGCAAAGGGAGAGCACAGAAAATGGCTGAGGCTGGGCAGGTGAAGCCTTAAGGGAAGCCAGCTTCATGATATCTGCTACTACAGCGATTCAAGAACCTTTCTAGGATGTTAGTAGTGCCCACACCAGAACTCGAACATTCAGCGCAACGGAAAAGTGTTATTAGTGCTCATCTGAGGACCCCTCTGCATGTCTCACCCTGGGCAGGTGGGGAGTTTTCTACTGAATCTGATTCTGGGAACAAAATCATTCTGCAGATCTCAACTGCATGTTTGGGACCACCGGCTGCCCTCCAATTCCTTTTATTTGGAAAAACAAAGCCAACGAAAACCATCCTTGAGAATCTTAAGGCAGCACTGGTTGGGTGCACGTGTGACTACAGAACCACCCACACCAGTAGTGGGCCGGTCACTCCGTGGCTAGCCCCCAAGAGCCCAATCCACCAATCCAGGCAGCTGTGCTGGTGCTGAGCCCACTAGTCACACTGCTTTGGGCTGGCAGCCTCCCAGTAGCGAGCTTCACCATTCCATTCCTCTCCTGGAATTTGGCCGCCTAGGGCTCTGCTGAGGGTCCTCACATGATGGTTTCTGGACCATTCACAGTTTAGCAAAAGAGCTCAAGTTCAGAATATTAAAATCATCCTGATTCACTATCTTGAGCTCTTAACATGAGCCCCAGCAAAAGAATTCTACCAAAAGTAAAGGCCTCATCAATTACAACTTTACCTGCCCTTCCAGGCCAACCCTTGTTCACTGCTTCATCTGTGATAGACATCTTTCCTGGCAAAATGGATCATTTTCCTATTTACATGGCCTCTGCCAAGGAATAAACTGGTACTGTGGTCTCAGTTCTAATATGAGCTCTCTTACCTATGAACTAGATGTTTTGAGAACCTGAAGACTGGGATTGGCAGGTGATGGACCCCACATGGTCCCCACATGGCCCTACTGAACAAACCTCAATTGTCAGGCACAGAGCTGGAGCTCAATAGGTATTTTTTGAATAACTGTTATAGCAGGGAACTTCTTAAATCTACTCATAAGTTAAGACCTGGTGAGTATGGGAATACATCAGATCAATTCAGGAGACATTTAACCCACATCTCTGTATTTGTCTTTTCTGGGGAACAAGACAAATAGTTGAACAACTGAATTAATCTCCATTTAATTAAAACCGTATTCAAATTTCAAGTACCATATAAAACCTTGTAATCTGATAACTTTAAATTTGATTTTTCATTTTCTTTGGCTTGTTTTTCTAAGTTTCCTTAGTAAAAAAGGCTAATTTTGTGATTCCACAGCTTTCATTTTCACTTTGGTTGGAACTGAACAGTGATGAACAAGCATTCAGTGCCATCAGTATGTACAAATTTGAAAAGGAAGTTGTAACATGCTGGCCGAAAGAACACAAAGGAGATGTGGTTGAGAGGTGAAAGGATTTTATTGGGCAAAGCAGCATATATGTTTATCTATAGAAGCACATAAGTGAACTTTTTATATGAGAAAAAATCTAGCTGACACATTACCAGTAAAAAAACAAAAACAGAAAACACAACCCACCAAAAAAAAATTGGGTTGGTGTTACCATCACCTTAGTTTGTCATGGTCTGATACTTAAAGTATGGCACAATCCCCCAACAGAAACTTACAGATGGGCAGGAAAGTCAGTTGGCCCACAATTCTGCACGTGAGTTTAGGAGAATTTAATGTTACTCCATGTGCTTAAAAAAATAGACACTCTTAGATTTTCAATGTGAATTGTTAAAAAACTGTATTTGTGCTTCAGAAAATTTTGGATTTGGAAGGGCATTATGGATGGCAGAGGCAGAAGAAAAAAGTGCCTTCCTCAGTCAGGCTGGTGGACTGGCTGAGAGCCCAAGAACAGATTCCATGTTCAAAGGCCAAAGGAAAAGTCCTCTAATGGACAGAAAGAAGCTGATGACCTTGGACTGGGTAGGAGAAGCAAAACAGAGGCCAAAATACCACCAAATCAATCAACTTTTATTACGTGGCAGAAGCAGGCAGATGTGACAGAGAGCAGGGCATGTTTTATTCTAAGGTATTCCAAGCACACAGAAAAGTCCAAACCATGAAACTCATGTATTCACCAACTAGATTTGTCCAGTAGTAACAAGAAGCCATATTTTCTTTAGTACCTGTAAGTTATTAAAAAGTGTGCATATATATATAGCCGAAAATCCCCATGGATCCCTTCCTGGTAATACCATGACTTGATACGAATCTTCCAAGCAAACTTATTTATCTGGGAGAAAGAACTTACAGGAAAAAAAAAAAACTACCCACCCTAAGAGAAGGGTGGCAAGCAAGTGGAAATGGAAGCATAAAAGGCCATTAAAGAAAAAATTTCCCAAAAACAGAGACACAAGATGCTGTACTTTGTCTCCTAAGTCTAGCCTTCATGGTTGCCTTTCTTGTAGGTGTTATCTCACAGAGACTGTTTCTGAAAAGAGAAAAATCAACTATTATTATGTCTTATATAAAGATTCAATCACTATGGTTCTTAATTTCTATCTCAAGTGCAAGTAAACCAAATGTTCACTTTTAACTGAAATTACACATTCAAGTCAGATCTATCAGTTAAAAATATTCAGCACCACAACGCTATATGTTAATTATAACTGTACTCTTTGAATACAAAACGTAGCTCTTAGTAGTCTCCTTGAAATATAAAAAATATTTTGTATTAACTTGTGTGCTGAAAGTACTTATCACTTCTGATCAACAGAGTAGTTTTATGTTTTCACCACAGCACTCCTAGTTTAGCAATTTCAAAATTGTTAAACTTCTCCAGAGATGATGACACATTTCAATTTTAAACATGTTTTCTCTATCTCTAGGAAGAATAAAGGAATAACCAACTATATTTTCACTGCAATGACGTATGCTTAAGCAACCATGTATGTGATTGTTCTAATTATATAACCCCTTATTTTATGCCCTTCAGAATTGATCTACTCTGAAAAGATACTGTAACATAGAGCACATGGGAGGTAAGCAGCAAGGGGCAGCTGTGAACTCAGTTTAGAGCAATAAGACATAGTTCCCAGTGTACATGATTTTGTGCAGGCATTTTACCACTTTGAGCCCCAGCTTCCTCATCCATAAAGTGGAGTCCTTCTTCTCAAGGTTATTGTGAAGATTAAGTATGTGACTAGATGTAAATGTGCATTTTAAATAAGGGACTACCCAAAACAAAAGGTATTGTACTGGATTCAAGTGTTGACAAAATACGTATTTAGTCCCACAGTGGGCCAAGAGTCAGTTCAACTACTATGCTTTAAAATCAAATTTTTAAAAGTAATGTCTTCAATCTGTCTAGAAACAACAGGAAATACAGGTTTCATCTTGTGTTAGCTTTATCCTTACCGTCTATCAGTATCCTTAGGGAAAAAGCGTATCACACAGATAAAGACAAAAATCATACAGGTTGATCAAAAATATGATCAAGCAGACCAAAAATATGATTATGTTAAGCAAAAATATGATGATTTGGCACTAGGTCTAAATTCTACAAGTTCATGTCATTGCATGTTCCTTAATCTATGCAATTATAAAGTTATTGTTAAACTCAAGATTTTAAACTCAAGTACACAAAACAGCAGTATTGAAACTGAATGTATTAGAAAGGACTAAAAGTTGTAATTGCAACTTTTTAAGTCAGCATTTATTAAAAAGCAAAATTTGTAAAGGAAGTAAATCCCAAAAACCAAAACTGATTTTGCATTAATGGTATTTGGCTTAGAACCTAGCTGTACTTTGTTAGAAACCGAAATAAAACAACTGTCCATTACTACAGGGAGGGTTATGTTTGAGCCCAGTAGGCCCCTACCTGAGAGCTGCCATACCCACAGACACACACAGAGAAGTCTACCTTGTGAGCTATTTGCCAATGGTCTGACAGACTGCGTTTTAGCCAATAAGAGTATGTAATTAAGTAAATCAAAGATCATTTGCCTTGGGCTGAAATTATACCAACAATGTAAGGACAAATTTCATTGTGATCAGAAATTCTAACTGGTCATTCATCATAAAGTAATTTCTGAGGACTGCCTTACAACAAATCATCCTGGACAAAAAAGCAGAGGAATGGTTGACCATGCACCGAGATTATCTTTAACGACTAGAATCCCCAAAACAGACAAAATCCCCACCACAGTATGTTCTACTTTGAAATGAAATATACTGTCAGTGCAGCCCATTTTCCATTCTTGGCCCTTTAGAACCTCTTCACAGAAACTGCTAAACATTTTTATAGCAATGCCCACAGGTGCAAGTTAATTTCACATCTGACGCAGCGAATCTGAGGCAAAGCTTTAACCTCACAGCCATTTTTACAAGTCCTTCCACATACCAATAACATGAGCATGTTCAGAATTGAACAGCAAGGAAAAGTGGTTGCAGCCTGAACACCCCGGGCTCAGTCCCACTAGCAGAGTCAGAGGAAGACTACCAAATAAAACAGAAGGAGACTGCAAAAACATCACAACCAGATCACCAGGACCCAAAATAAAGGGACAGCCTCAGAGCATGTTTCACTCCATGAGTTCTACCCTGATAACATGCACAGAGACTTGCTACTGACCGTGTTAGAGAAAATGCAAAAACATCAAATTTAACTTACTTAACTCTACAACAATTTTTTCATTTCAATAAATTTCTCTTGATTGGTTGGATTGCTTAAGAGGAAGAGAAGAATCTGTTCATGTTTTTCAATCTATGGGTGAGAAAGAAAGAGTATTATTTCACATCTAAAAATGTTGGGAGTATAATTTCACCTGAAGGAAATTTTACCCACTTTTTCCTGTAACTCTGTGCAGCAGCAATTCATCTTGCATGTCTTTCCTAAAAGCAAATACAAAAAGCAGTAGATACATTATACTGTAAATAACAACAATAAAACAAAGCCCTTGGAGTCTCAACAGACAGACATTTGGCTCTCAAGCATGGGTTCCAACTGCAAAGGACTTGATTAACTTCTCCACTGGACTTTAACGTGCTCTATCACTGTGTCCTGAGTTTATCAAATCAATGCCCTCATCTCCAAGATTTTAGGTCTTTTGCCTGTCATATATAGGGTATCTCTCTTTGGTTGAGGGCAGGTCTGCCAAATAATCATCATATGAAATACCAGGAAGAGCCAATCTCAAAAATGAGTTCAGCAACGGAAAAGTGTTATTAGTGCTCATCTGAGGACCCCTCTGCATGTCTCACCCTGGGCAGGTGGGGAGTTTTCTACTGAATCTGATTCTGGGAACAAAATCATTCTGCAGATCTCAACTGCATGTTTGGGACCACCGGCTGCCCTCCAATTCCTTTTATTTGGAAAAACAAAGCCAACGAAAACCATCCTTGAGAATCTTAAGGCAGCACTGGTTGGGTGCACGTGTGACTACAGAACCACCCACACCAGTAGTGGGCCGGTCACTCCGTGGCTAGCCCCCAAGAACCCAATCCACCAATCCAGGCAGCTGTGCTGGTGCTGAGCCCACTAGTCACACTGCTTTGGGCTGGCAGCCTCCCAGTAGCGAGCTTCACCATTCCATTCCTCTCCTGGAATTTGGCCGCCTAGGGCTCTGCTGAGGGTCCTCACATGATGGTTTCTGGACCATTCACAGTTTAGCAAAAGAGCTCAAGTTCAGAATATTAAAATCATCCTGATTCACTATCTTGAGCTCTTAACATGAGCCCCAGCAAAAGAATTCTACCAAAAGTAAAGGCCTCATCAATTACAACTTTACCTGCCCTTCCAGGCCAACCCTTGTTCACTGCTTCATCTGTGATAGACATCTTTCCTGGCAAAATGGATCATTTTCCTATTTACATGGCCTCTGCCAAGGAATAAACTGGTACTGTGGTCTCAGTTCTAATATGAGCTCTCTTACCTATGAACTAGATGTTTTGAGAACCTGAAGACTGGGATTGGCAGGTGATGGACCCCACATGGTCCCCACATGGCCCTACTGAACAAACCTCAATTGTCAGGCACAGAGCTGGAGCTCAATAGGTATTTTTTGAATAACTGTTATAGCAGGGAACTTCTTAAATCTACTCATAAGTTAAGACCTGGTGAGTATGGGAATACATCAGATCAATTCAGGAGACATTTAACCCACATCTCTGTATTTGTCTTTTCTGGGGAACAAGACAAATAGTTGAACAACTGAATTAATCTCCATTTAATTAAAACCGTATTCAAATTTCAAGTACCATATAAAACCTTGTAATCTGATAACTTTAAATTTGATTTTTCATTTTCTTTGGCTTGTTTTTCTAAGTTTCCTTAGTAAAAAAGGCTAATTTTGTGATTCCACAGCTTTCATTTTCACTTTGGTTGGAACTGAACAGTGATGAACAAGCATTCAGTGCCATCAGTATGTACAAATTTGAAAAGGAAGTTGTAACATGCTGGCCGAAAGAACACAAAGGAGATGTGGTTGAGAGGTGAAAGGATTTTATTGGGCAAAGCAGCATATATGTTTATCTATAGAAGCACATAAGTGAACTTTTTATATGAGAAAAAATCTAGCTGACACATTACCAGTAAAAAAACAAAAACAGAAAACACAACCCACCAAAAAAAAATTGGGTTGGTGTTACCATCACCTTAGTTTGTCATGGTCTGATACTTAAAGTATGGCACAATCCCCCAACAGAAACTTACAGATGGGCAGGAAAGTCAGTTGGCCCACAATTCTGCACGTGAGTTTAGGAGAATTTAATGTTACTCCATGTGCTTAAAAAAATAGACACTCTTAGATTTTCAATGTGAATTGTTAAAAAACTGTATTTGTGCTTCAGAAAATTTTGGATTTGGAAGGGCATTATGGATGGCAGAGGCAGAAGAAAAAAGTGCCTTCCTCAGTCAGGCTGGTGGACTGGCTGAGAGCCCAAGAACAGATTCCATGTTCAAAGGCCAAAGGAAAAGTCCTCTAATGGACAGAAAGAAGCTGATGACCTTGGACTGGGTAGGAGAAGCAAAACAGAGGCCAAAATACCACCAAATCAATCAACTTTTATTACGTGGCAGAAGCAGGCAGATGTGACAGAGAGCAGGGCATGTTTTATTCTAAGGTATTCCAAGCACACAGAAAAGTCCAAACCATGAAACTCATGTATTCACCAACTAGATTTGTCCAGTAGTAACAAGAAGCCATATTTTCTTTAGTACCTGTAAGTTATTAAAAAGTGTGCATATATATATAGCCGAAAATCCCCATGGATCCCTTCCTGGTAATACCATGACTTGATACGAATCTTCCAAGCAAACTTATTTATCTGGGAGAAAGAACTTACAGGAAAAAAAAAAAACTACCCACCCTAAGAGAAGGGTGGCAAGCAAGTGGAAATGGAAGCATAAAAGGCCATTAAAGAAAAAATTTCCCAAAAACAGAGACACAAGATGCTGTACTTTGTCTCCTAAGTCTAGCCTTCATGGTTGCCTTTCTTGTAGGTGTTATCTCACAGAGACTGTTTCTGAAAAGAGAAAAATCAACTATTATTATGTCTTATATAAAGATTCAATCACTATGGTTCTTAATTTCTATCTCAAGTGCAAGTAAACCAAATGTTCACTTTTAACTGAAATTACACATTCAAGTCAGATCTATCAGTTAAAAATATTCAGCACCACAACGCTATATGTTAATTATAACTGTACTCTTTGAATACAAAACGTAGCTCTTAGTAGTCTCCTTGAAATATAAAAAATATTTTGTATTAACTTGTGTGCTGAAAGTACTTATCACTTCTGATCAACAGAGTAGTTTTATGTTTTCACCACAGCACTCCTAGTTTAGCAATTTCAAAATTGTTAAACTTCTCCAGAGATGATGACACATTTCAATTTTAAACATGTTTTCTCTATCTCTAGGAAGAATAAAGGAATAACCAACTATATTTTCACTGCAATGACGTATGCTTAAGCAACCATGTATGTGATTGTTCTAATTATATAACCCCTTATTTTATGCCCTTCAGAATTGATCTACTCTGAAAAGATACTGTAACATAGAGCACATGGGAGGTAAGCAGCAAGGGGCAGCTGTGAACTCAGTTTAGAGCAATAAGACATAGTTCCCAGTGTACATGATTTTGTGCAGGCATTTTACCACTTTGAGCCCCAGCTTCCTCATCCATAAAGTGGAGTCCTTCTTCTCAAGGTTATTGTGAAGATTAAGTATGTGACTAGATGTAAATGTGCATTTTAAATAAGGGACTACCCAAAACAAAAGGTATTGTACTGGATTCAAGTGTTGACAAAATACGTATTTAGTCCCACAGTGGGCCAAGAGTCAGTTCAACTACTATGCTTTAAAATCAAATTTTTAAAAGTAATGTCTTCAATCTGTCTAGAAACAACAGGAAATACAGGTTTCATCTTGTGTTAGCTTTATCCTTACCGTCTATCAGTATCCTTAGGGAAAAAGCGTATCACACAGATAAAGACAAAAATCATACAGGTTGATCAAAAATATGATCAAGCAGACCAAAAATATGATTATGTTAAGCAAAAATATGATGATTTGGCACTAGGTCTAAATTCTACAAGTTCATGTCATTGCATGTTCCTTAATCTATGCAATTATAAAGTTATTGTTAAACTCAAGATTTTAAACTCAAGTACACAAAACAGCAGTATTGAAACTGAATGTATTAGAAAGGACTAAAAGTTGTAATTGCAACTTTTTAAGTCAGCATTTATTAAAAAGCAAAATTTGTAAAGGAAGTAAATCCCAAAAACCAAAACTGATTTTGCATTAATGGTATTTGGCTTAGAACCTAGCTGTACTTTGTTAGAAACCGAAATAAAACAACTGTCCATTACTACAGGGAGGGTTATGTTTGAGCCCAGTAGGCCCCTACCTGAGAGCTGCCATACCCACAGACACACACAGAGAAGTCTACCTTGTGAGCTATTTGCCAATGGTCTGACAGACTGCGTTTTAGCCAATAAGAGTATGTAATTAAGTAAATCAAAGATCATTTGCCTTGGGCTGAAATTATACCAACAATGTAAGGACAAATTTCATTGTGATCAGAAATTCTAACTGGTCATTCATCATAAAGTAATTTCTGAGGACTGCCTTACAACAAATCATCCTGGACAAAAAAGCAGAGGAATGGTTGACCATGCACCGAGATTATCTTTAACGACTAGAATCCCCAAAACAGACAAAATCCCCACCACAGTATGTTCTACTTTGAAATGAAATATACTGTCAGTGCAGCCCATTTTCCATTCTTGGCCCTTTAGAACCTCTTCACAGAAACTGCTAAACATTTTTATAGCAATGCCCACAGGTGCAAGTTAATTTCACATCTGACGCAGCGAATCTGAGGCAAAGCTTTAACCTCACAGCCATTTTTACAAGTCCTTCCACATACCAATAACATGAGCATGTTCAGAATTGAACAGCAAGGAAAAGTGGTTGCAGCCTGAACACCCCGGGCTCAGTCCCACTAGCAGAGTCAGAGGAAGACTACCAAATAAAACAGAAGGAGACTGCAAAAACATCACAACCAGATCACCAGGACCCAAAATAAAGGGACAGCCTCAGAGCATGTTTCACTCCATGAGTTCTACCCTGATAACATGCACAGAGACTTGCTACTGACCGTGTTAGAGAAAATGCAAAAACATCAAATTTAACTTACTTAACTCTACAACAATTTTTTCATTTCAATAAATTTCTCTTGATTGGTTGGATTGCTTAAGAGGAAGAGAAGAATCTGTTCATGTTTTTCAATCTATGGGTGAGAAAGAAAGAGTATTATTTCACATCTAAAAATGTTGGGAGTATAATTTCACCTGAAGGAAATTTTACCCACTTTTTCCTGTAACTCTGTGCAGCAGCAATTCATCTTGCATGTCTTTCCTAAAAGCAAATACAAAAAGCAGTAGATACATTATACTGTAAATAACAACAATAAAACAAAGCCCTTGGAGTCTCAACAGACAGACATTTGGCTCTCAAGCATGGGTTCCAACTGCAAAGGACCTGATTAACTTCTCCACTGGACTTTAACGTGCTCTATCACTGTGTCCTGAGTTTATCAAATCAATGCCCTCATCTCCAAGATTTTAGGTCTTTTGCCTGTCATATATAGGGTATCTCTCTTTGGTTGAGGGCAGGTCTGCCAAATAATCATCATATGAAATACCAGGAAGAGCCAATCTCAAAAATGAGTTCTCACTTCAGTCAAAATCAAAAGTAAATTGGAAGTAACTTTTAATGCTTGGCATTTCTAAAGCTCCTAGCACCAATTCTATCAACAATGTTGCCGAGCCTGCTCTCTAAGGGAAATCTAGATGGGGGTCCTGCTCCCACCCAGGCGGTTCCTCTGAGGTGGCAACATGAATCAGCACCCTGCCACTGGATTCCCGGAGGAGGAAGAGGGACTGAGACCGCAGAGACCAAGGAAGATCATGGCACCCAGTTTGGCTACATATCTGTTCTTAAGTATACTTACATCTGATACTAATTAAACTTGAAAAACAATACCTTTATTTAAACCACTCTGGTTTTTAGATGTGACGCTTTTTGCCAGACCACACATCACCAGCTTCTCAGCTACACTGACAGTACCGTTCTCAGAACGTGTCTCAACCGACACTGTATGGACATTCTTGATAATTCCTTTTACACAAAGCATTACATTCTGATTCAACATAAGGTTTTTTAGTAGCTCTATTACTAATAGAGAATTGCTTCCATTCAATTCTATTAGTCCTGGGGAAAAAAGGTGAATATTAGAGTTAATCTTCAATTCCCTTAAAGATACAATTTAGATAAATTATCTAAGAATAATAAGCTAAAGGCTGACTTAGGTTATCTGGGTTTAAGTATGCTTTGATATAGTACTGCTGTTGCATTAAAAAAAACTTATTCTGTAATTAATTCATTGATTCTATTACATGTAATGAGCACTAATCTAGATCTGAAGGGTACAAAACAGATGTGTCATGGACATATATCCTAACGCAAAGAAGCAAACAATAATACAGATAATTTTCCAGCTCTCTCACTGAATCAAAACCAAAGCTGACCAAGAGGCAGGCAGTCTGTGTGCTGGTATCTGCTGGAATCTCTGGGTAAAGAAATCAGGAAAAAACAGCTACTTCACCATTTTCATTCACTTCATTCAAATTCCAACTGAAGAGCTTTATATATGCAGCTACATATGCACACAGAGTAAGGTAGTCAAAAATGGTGTCATCTGAATGTCTTCAATCTCTGAGGAGCAATGTGCCAGAGTAGAAAAGACCCTCAGGTAAGAGGTCACATGGACCCAGTTCACACCCTGGCCCTGCTACTTATTAGCTTTGCGACCCAGGGCAAAATAGAATCTAAATTTAGGCTCTGAAACTAATCTGTAAAACAAAGATGGACTAACTGAAAATAATTTTTGTGATAATGAAGTAAAGAAAACAGGATATAAAATTTCTTTGTAAACACTGCTAATATTTAGAAAGTTGGACAGTTACTTGAAATACCCATTTAATTCAGACTCAGAGCTATAAAACAAATAAAAAATTGCACAGACATCCCAACTGGAAAAGTGACTTAACTGCCTACCTTCGAGGGAACATTTAATAATTTGGAAAGGAAGCTGCAGGTGGCTGGTGGAAATTGGCTGCACTCTGGAAAGAGGCAGATTTTCAATGTTTCCATAATCTGCATAGAGCACTTTCACATGAGCATCTGATATCCCCAGAACAATGGCACGATACCAGAAATCATCACCTGAAAATGTCACAGAATCTCCGGTAAGAAGTCACATTCCACAGCTCCTCCCTCCCTTAAGATGGTTATTCACAGTTAAGTTACATCTCTATCACTTAAAAACTCAAACCAAGATTTCTGGTTAGAGTCCAGATTAAATACAAGCATCAACTCTATTCCTTCCAGATCCTACTAAAAAGAAGAAATTATAAGATTAAAATGAGAAAGGTATAAAACCACAAAGATAGAGAACAAAAGAGAAGGCAGTAAAATTTTGGAAGCTGGAAAGCAGATGTGTGAATGGAAATGATTTAGCAGAGCTCAACCATAGCTGGCAGCAGGGAAGCAAAGAGCATCTCACTTTGCACCTCAAATCCCCAAATCCCAAGGCTTAATTATTGGTGCTACCCACTCAAACGTGAAGAGTAAAGATGGAGCTGAAAATGAGGACTGGGTAAAGGAAGCAGAATTATTTCTCAAGACATCTGAAAAGACATTAGTTTATAAACATTTAAACACAATACTTATTTTTAAAGTTGCTAAAGAGAATGATCAGTTTTATATTAGTAAGTGTTAATAAAGCTTACAATGCCCTCCCCCTTTCCAGGCAATTGCACCTACCCAAGGGAAGACAACTAGAGGCTCCTTCTCCAGAGGGTGAAGCAGGCCAGACTATGGACGACTAGGAACACACAGGCAGAGCAGAGTAGGAAGTTAACCAGAAACACTGTCGGGCAAGCTGCACACTCCAGGCAGGAGACCGCCATCCCAGCCCTCCCACATGAAGGCGCTTCAAGATTCCAGGATGAGGAGTCCCCAGCAAGAGGACGGAGCCGGACCACCCTACACTGAGGCCACCAGGGGAACAAGCTCTGTCCACACACAAAGAAACTTCCAGTTAACTTCTTGAGGCCCCACCGAGGTGAACAGCAAAGGAGCACCAGACATTTGTAGAAAGCCTTCAACATGAAAGAGAAAACCAAAACAAATATAACTTAAGGAAGCAGAGAGAAAACAATGACAACTGCAAGAATGATATTAACATTCTCAGAGAAATGACCTTCCATCCTTGGACCAAGAACAGCACTGAGAACACACTCTTCACAAGAAAGCTCTTGAAAACTAAATATGTGGTACCTGATACGAGATACTCAAAACTGAGGAAATCTCTTTAAAAACTGAACGAGAAAGATGGAGAAAAGAGGAAATTAAAAAAGCAGAGAAGACTTCAAGCCCAGCATTACAATACATGGAGTTCCAAAAAGAACAGAAAATGACAGAAGGGAATAATAAAATCCAGGAAAATTTCTTGAAACTGAAGCTCATGAATTTCTGGATTATTGCCTACCCTAAGGTCCATCTTTACTCTTATGTTTGAATGGGTAGCACCAATTATTAAGCCTTGGGATTTGGGGATTTGATGTGCAAATTGAGGTGCTGCTTTGCTTCCCCACCACCTACCCAAGCACAATGGTGAAAAGAAAACCAACATTAAGTCACATCATAAATTTCAAAACATGAGACAAAGAGATTACTCAAAGTCCACAAGGAAAAAAAAGTATGTACAAAGTCTGGACAATCCAAACAATGTCTATTTCTTGACCAGCAACACCAACGACTAAAAGACAACAGATGTAATGCCTTCAAAATTAAGGGAGAGATGATTTCCAACCTGGAATTCTCTGTGGAGGCAAGCCATCAATTTACTACGAGGGTAGAATAAAGACTTTTTTAAACATAGGAGGTAACAAAGAATTTATGTACCTTATATGCACCTCTTTTCAGCTTCTGGAGAATGGGGATATACCCAAATATTTAGAGCATATCCGAAGTGAAAGGATCCAGAAAACAAGTGAGATGAGGGAAAGGAGAAATCTAGACTAGGGTGAGGGGGGAGAAAAATCCAAGAAACAAAGGGAGGTGGAGTGGAAACCCTTCCCAGCATGATGGTGAAGGACAGATTCGAGCATGACAGAGCAGGTCATTCAGACAAGCAGTCTAGACAGAAGCAGGTCAGAAGGCTGAAGATGCCTCCAATATGCTACAGGTTGATAAATACATGAAGTGTTCACTGAGAGGAGCCACACTACTGTAGAGAACTGGAGATAATTAGTGAAGATACGGAGAACAAACATTACCAACAACAAAAAAGGCTGCAGAAGAGAGATATGCAAGAACAGTATCTTACCGGGCTATGCTGTGAATGGTGTTTATGCAATCCTAACAAAAGTAACGAGAACATTTATCTAACTAAAAACTATGCCTTATTTCTATTGAGAAGAAAGGGTGGGAAAGTGTAGATTCATTTGTCATATGAAAGAAAAATAAAAATGTAATACATTTTTAAACTGTAAATCTAAATTGAAAAATTAACACTATTTGGGCACAGACCAAAGCATTTTAAATTCATTGTTGGCAGGGGGATGATGAAACTGGCCCGCTCACAAACTTTGACACATATGGGCATTTTTCTCCAAGATGCCTCTCGAAGCAAAAGCTTCGAGAACTTACGAGGCAAACATACATCCAGTGATTCACAAATCCAAGCCCCCAAATTCATCCTAAAGTATTTATAGTTACCAAAATTTCTGCTCAATATACACTACAAGTGTTATTTATGTTAGCAAAAGAAATCTGTTAATTGCAATGTTAAACAATAGGATAATGATTAAAGTACACCAATTTGATGAGTCTGAAATGAGATAAAATTCTAAGGCATTTTATTCCTTTTGTACTATATTCACAGAGTTCTTTAAATTATTTGCAAATATAAAGTATAATTAGAAGTTATTTAGAACTACTGACATTTGTACGTATCTACCTATATTCTTGTCTCAAAATAATTGACGACTATGGAACAAAAAAGCTCTGAGCCCAACTTATTAAACCTGTCACCTTGCTTTTCTTAATTTCTCTAACCAAATGAAATATGCATCTAAAGTATTAAAATCCACATATCTCATGTGAGAGAGGACAAAATATTTTCCTTTTTAATATTTTACCTAAAAGAATCTTACTTGTGTACTTGGCACAGCATGCGTCTCCAACTCTTGGTCTATACGACGATTGACTTTTCTGAGCATTGCAATATTCTAACAATTCAGATGTCAATATCCACAGTTTTTCCTTATTTGCTAAAATACATAAAAAGCAATCTTTTGTGAAGAAATTGTCAGTGCTGTTTAAATGTATACAAAAAAATAACAAACCTAATCACTCAAAAGAACCTGTGTTGATTAAAATGTACATTTATGTTTAAAAAATAAAAGCACTACTGGGAACTTTGTGCAGAAGGGATGCAATACTAGGAGGAAGCAGGAGGAGTGGGCTTCTCTGGTGGGCTGACTTCTTGATGGGGTAGTTACACTTGTGTGTTCCCTCAGGAAAACCCAAGAAAACCTATGACGGCTGCATTTTTACAGCTGTTCATTGTACTTCTCACAGTAAGTTTGTTATAGCTAATTACTTTCCACTATATGGATTAAAGAGGGTTCTTTGTAATATTGAAGTTTATTGGTATCACCACAGTTCTTGGTTTGACTACCTGAAATAAAAGTCCATTTATTCAATAATACCCATTCTCCTTAAAGTTTTCCAAAAAATAGAAGAGGAGGGAATACTCCCAAACTCATTCTATGAAGCCAGCATCACCCTAATACCAAAACCAGGCAAAGACCCCACCAAAAAAGAAAACTACAGACCAATATCCCTGATGAACGTAGATGCAAAAATACTCAACAAAATATTAGCAAAAACCAAATTCAAAAATACATGAAAAGGATCATACACCATGACCAAGTGGGATTCATCCCAGGGATGCAAGGATGGTACACATTCGAAAATCCATCAACATCATCCACCACATAAATGAAAAGAAGGACAAAAACCACATGATCATCTCCATAGATGCTGG